AGTTCACCGTCATCGAGCACAGCCCTCGACACCTAGTAGTAAGGATCGAAGCCCCAGGCTTTCGACATACAGTCTGCGTCGCTCATGCACCACACTCACGAGCCAAGCCACACGAGAAGGATATCTTCTGGGAGATGATCGAGTGCGCAACTTCTAACCACAACATCGACATCTTCTTCATCGACGCCAACGCTCGAACGGGCAGTTTATGCAGTCAGGCAATCGGCGATCAAGGCTTCAAGCAAAAGGAGGACGACAACGGCGAACGATTCCACAAGGTCCTGCAAGGTAACTCTCTCATAGCCGCGAATACCTTCAAAAGCGGAGGCCAGGACCACTACACATGGGACTCAGGCAAGGACGTGCACAGACTGGACTACATAGTGGTTGGCCACGAGCTCTTCGACTCTATCTCCTACACGTCCGTAATGTATGGTATCGACACAGAACACGACCACTCACACAAGAACGACCACTTCCCTGTCAAGGCTAACCTCGCCTATATCGTCGAGACCACATACCAGCACGGCACGCCCAAGCTCGACATCGCTAAGCTCGACTCCGAGACAGCCAAGAACGACTTTCAACGACGCCTGCAGCAGATCCAACACCCCCCCTGGGAGACCAACCTCAACGACCATACTAAGAGCATCGTCGATCAGATAAAGGACGCAGCCTACGCCAGCTTCAAGAAGCAGCATCATGCCCCACGCAAGCCCTACATTACCGAGGCCTCATACGCGCTTCTTCGCTTTCGACGCACCCTCCTCAAGACGATCCGCATCGTGAAAAGGAATGGCATGGGCTCCAAGATATCACGCAGACGGATCCGATACACCGCGCACCTCATCGCAAACCAGACGGCTTCAGCGTCCCCTGACGACGTCATCCACCTCATGGACATCCCTGGATATACTCAGCTGATGATCAAGACCATCCTCTTTATCAACCACGCGGACCCCGACCAGACTACGGCTCCATACCACGACAGCACCCACTGCACAACCACCTTCACTACAAACCTTTTCGACTCATACATGAGCTTCATCAAAGATACCGACAGAGTTCTTAGGAACCGCCTCGATCACGACCGCGACGCCCACCTCGAGCGCCTCTCCGACAACATGATACTATCAGCTGCAGGGAACGCCCCGCGGCAGGAATGGGCAAACGTGAGGGCATTACTAACATACGGCGGCCGCACACCTAAGAGAACTCCGACTCCCAAAATACGACAAGACGATGACGGCGCTCCACTTACAACGCCACAAGCCATTGCGGAGCACGCCCTTCGATACTACGGCAACATAGAGAACGGCATCAACACCGACATCGAAGGCGTCGTCAAGTACTACAACAACAAGACTGCCCACACCAAGCCGATACCCCACATCGACAACGTCCAGACCATCCACAATCTGACATCCGCCCTGGCAGCCGCCAAGAAAGGCAAACGCGGCGGGCCCGACGGGAACACCGACGACATGGCACGAGCAGCGCCGCGCCAGATTGCCCGACTTCTGCACCCTATCATGATGAAGATGCAAATGATGACGACGGAGCCTATTTCGGCAAAGGGCGGTTTCTCCACCCATTTCTCCAAAGGACAAGGACAGCTTCATCTGCAGAAAGCATACAGGGGCATCCTCCTGAACAACACTATAGGAAAGATCAACAGCAAGTTCCTGAGAGGCCTCTTCCGCGACATCCTACCCGACCTGCTCATGGACACACAATGCGGCGCCGTCCCTCACAAGGCGACCGACTTCATCACTCACACCGCCTACACTTTCTTGGACGACTGCCGTACACAGGCTCGCACGGGCAGCATCCTCTTCCTGGACTTGAAAGAAGCCTTCCATTCGGTAATAAAGGAGTTCATTTTTCAGCTGCCGACTCAGGAGGACGAGCTCGAAGACGTCATCGACAACATCGAGATTCCCATATGCCTACTCCCATCCCTACGACAACGTCTTCGCTGCCCAGCACATCTCAACGCCCACGTCGACGACTCTCACCTCTGCGCCCTAGTTGCCGACCACCACACGGCCAACTGGATGACCGCCAAGGGCACCGACGCATACGTGATCCCTCGCACCAGTACCAGGCCAGGGGTGCCATACTCCGACGCAGCTTTCAACATGCATTTCTCCCTGGTGCTTCAGGCCATCGCCGACGACGCTGAAGGGGCAGAAGACGGCGAAAGCGGCCACCACATCAGCCCCTGCGACAACCCGCTCTTCTCTACGGCCCCTCACCAAGGCGGCAAGCTGACCAACATGTCCTTCGTCGACGACCTCACCGACTTCAACTCGACCACACACCACTCCGACATCATTGACATTACGAGAACTTCAGCTGAACGTCTATGCCGTACAGCCTTTACATACGGGCTCAAGCCACACCCAGACAAGACCAAGGTCATCATCTCCTTTAACGGGACGGGCTCCAACGTCGTGCGCAGCAGGCTTGCACAGCAAAACATTACATCAATCAAGTTGAGCATCATGTCGATCTCGGTCCAAATCACAGACCAGCACCGACTATTAGGCACCATCATAACCAACGGCAGCATGGGCCCCGAGGTGCAGAATCGCATGCAACGAACCGACGCTTCGGCACGAGCTCTGGAGAGGCAAATCCTAAGACGTCGACGCCTACCCCGCAAAACGAAGATCAAGTACGTGCACGCCCTCTCGACTGCCTCATTGACCTTCAACCATCACGTCTGGCCAGCACTGACTCAGACTGACCACCAGCGCATATCCAACGCCTACTCGAAGCCCTATCGCACGGCAGCTGGATTACCCAAAGTTAACTCGCAGCTTCATCATTTCACGGCCACCGAAGTAGTAGCCTACACCGGCATCCCCGACTTCGACCACCACCAGTCTGCTGGACGGCTGCGATACTTACCACGGCTTCTACGACACGCTCCTCAGCAGCTCCTACAACTGCTTGACAACCAGCGACGGAGAAAGGGCTCATGGACATACATGCTTTTCCAGGACTTCGACTTCCTGCGCACATACCTGGACGACCAGCGCTGGCCCACGACCAGCAAGCTCGACCCCGACATCATCGCATGGGCTCGCACCACGCCGAGGCACTTCACCAACTCCGTCAACCTGGCTGTCACAAACTACATCCGCGCCTCTAAAGACAGTGCCCACGCCGACAAGCTGACCAAGGTGCTCAGACCAGACGGCCCCATCGGGGCGGGCACCACGCCATCACGTGACAACGGCGACAGCAACTTCATTTGCTACGAGTGCGGAATAGTAACCAAGACAAAGCAGGGCATGGCAATACATATCGGACGGGAACACCGACGACCTGATCATCCGCGAAACTGGGCATCGGGTACATCGTGCAGAATATGCCGCCAGAACTTCCACTCCTTCGCCAAGCTAGTGAAGCATCTAACCACGGTAGCCCGATGCCGACGGTCATGGTATATGTGGTATTTACAAGGACCTGCCCTCACTGAGGAGGACGTGGCCACCAATCAGGCGATCTACGCGGCCAGCATAGCCGACAACAAACGCAGAGGCCGCCCCGAACTATACCATCCCATCCCTGCCCACGCATCCGACGTCACCCCATTACCCTCCCTTGACCTATCACCTTCACCACCGCCCTTTTTCCCGACTGTAGCAGAACTTACACCACCACCACCAGCCCACTACCCTCGGACACCGACCAGAAACAGATCCCTGCTTTACCTCACCAACACCGATAGACACCCGAATGATCTGCTCGACATCACGGACCAACGACTATGCTACAATGGAATGGTTATGGAACTGGCTACTATGACCTTCGACGATCTCTACTCCGCCGAACACCCATCCCAGTACGACGCCCTTGACTTGATCCACCAGCACATTCGACAGGGTGACTTCGCAGGAGTTACGATCAACCTCTCACCCAGCACTTGGATCGACCAAGGTGATGGCGACATCCACGACAGAACGGCCGCATCCTCCAGAACAACCTCGGACCCATGGGGAAGAGTAAACCTTGGAGGCAAGGCAGCGGAACGTCGACTGATCGCGAACCACCATGCCCGCCTAGCCATCCACATCTTCCATGCCGCCCACATTGCAGAAGTACCTGTACTACTAGCGCAATCCGCAGCCCCAGCGGGTCCGTCGCTGATGTGGACGACCGAGCAGATGCACTACGCTACGGAGAGAACTGCCACGAGAAGACCGACCAGGATTGACTCCACCAGCAACCTCTACGCCATTTACGACGGCACCTCCCACGAGCACAGCAGCCCACTCGACGATTTCGTCGACTCCGTCTTGAGCAGCCTGCTCCCTGGAGGTCGGACTGCAGCCTGCAGATCCGACGACCCGAGCTGGCCGTAACAGGGCCCAAGAGCTTCGAGGCGGACGCCTACCGCGGCAAGATGACCGTAGGGATCAAGGCGGCCGCCGACACCATCACGAACGCCCCCTCAATGGAGAGGGGGGGGAGGACACGGTCCAGGCGTGACCTGGGCCGCCGCCCGCGTGAAGGCCTCATGGGGGTGGACTCCCTTCCTCCCCAGGCCTTTAATGAGCCCCCTCCCCCCGCCCCGCTTTGCCACCCCCATGTGGCCTCTCCCTCTTCCTTCCCTCTGCCCCGAAACTCCTGGGCACCCTTTTTTTTCTCGGCCCCTTTCGGCCCCCGCCCCTCCCCCTGCGAGGCCTAGGCGGCTTCTCACCCTTGCCCTCCTGGCGGGGGCCCGTGTCGGGGGGGTGGCCCCCACTGCGTGCCTCGGGCGCGCGCGCGCGGCCGCGGCCGCGGCGAAACGGCTTCGTCTATTAGACAAGTCGGAGGAGGAGAGGGAGGAGGAGGGAGGAAGAAGGAGGAGGAGGAGGAGGAGAGGAGGAGGAAGGAGGAGGATGAGGAGGGAGAGGAGGAGGAGAGGGGGAGGAAGGAGGAGGAGGAGGAGGAGGAGGAGGAGAAGGTCCATTCAGTTCAGACCCCTGGCCGCCTCCAAGGGTAGCGTGCGGCCAAGGGCCGCAAGTCCACCATGTGGGAGGACATCTTTGAGACCCCCATGCCATGCCACATCAAGCGTAGGCTAAAGCCAGTTTTTTGTGCGAACTGGTAGCGCGCGCGGTCAGTTTTCCCTTGACTGCTTGTGGATGGGTCGGTGACGAATGTCGGCAGCGAGCCCAGGGGAAACGTGAGAGGGGGTGGGCCTTCTCAGAAGGCAGCGGGGGCTTCTCAGAATGCCCTCCGGCCTTCTGAGAAGCCGTCTCTCTCTCTCTCTCTCTCTCTCTCTCTCTCTCTCTCTCTCTTAGGAAAGTTCAGCAACATTTTCTGAAGGCCAGAGGCCGTCCGAGGCTTCTAAGAAGGCCCGCCCCCTCTGACTTTCTCCCGGGGGCTCGCCGCTGAATCTGGATCGTCGGTCCCTCGGCGTGGTTTAACATGTTTATTACGTTTTCAAGCGTGGACTGATGGAGACGCAAGGAGCCTCTGTATGCCGATGCCCCTTCTGAGAGAGAGACCTCGCGATCCCAACTTCGAGTAGGGGATCGACCACAGAGTTCATGTACCCCCAAATCGATTTTCTCGCCGAAGCCAGGAAAAAGAAGCCTTCGTAGAACGTTGTGGAACGAACGTTCTGCGTTTTACTCATGGATTTGACGAGGAAGTCAATATTGGGGTAAATCAATTCTGTAGTCGATCCCCTACTCGACAACTGTCTCGAGGGGCCCGGCGGGCCCGCGCCGGCCCCATTTCTTCGGCTACAGCTCATGGGAGAGCCTGGCCCGTCCTTTGAGCTCTGTCTTAATGAGTGCCTGGGCGTGCGCTGGCGTGTTGTAGTCGTCGAGAAGTGCGCCGATGCATCGTCGATTTGGCGTCGAGTTGGGTCGATTCGTGTCGATTCGCGATCCGCAAGAGCCAGCAAGAGGGCATGGAGGCTCCCAGGAGTTGCCACAGAACCCGTATTTCCCCGGTTTCCGCCCCTCCTCTCCGTTTCCCCTCGCGCTTCCCCTTTCCCTTCCCTCCTCCCTCCTCGCTCAATCCCCCCCCGTCTCTCCCTCTTCCTCCTCCTCATCCTCCTCCTCCTGCTGCTCTCCCTCTTATTCCTCCTCCTCCTCCTCCTCCTCCTCATCCCCCTCCTCGTCCTCCTCCTCCTCCTCCTCCTCACCCTGGAGGGCCTCGGAGCACCAATCGGACCACGGTTTATTCCTGACCGTCTTTTCAACCTTGAGCGCCTGATCTAGGGCCACCACGAGGTTGCGAAGTTAGTCGCGCTTCGCGCTTCGCGGTCTGGGCGATTTCGGAGGCGCGAGTCGCTCATCCTGTTCCACTGGGGTGGGGCACGGCGCGAAAGCGCGACAATAATCGCGCTTCGTGCTTCGCGCTTCGCGGAGCACGAAGCGCGAAGATAGTCGCCCTACCTGAGCAGCGTTGGTATTGTCGTCGCCGCCGCAGCCGCCGCCGCCGCCGCCGTCGCCGCCGCCGCCGCCGCCGTCGCCGTCGCCGTCGCCGCCGCTGTCGCCGTCGCCGTCGCCGTCGCCGACACCGCCTCCGCCGCCGACGCCGCCGCCGCCGCCGCCGCCGCCGCCGCCACCGCCGCCACCGAAGTCGTCGTCGTCGTCGTCGTCGTCGTTGTCGTCGTCGTCGTCGTCGTCGCTGTTTTCATGGCGGCTGGCGGGC